TTTTTTGGTCTTTTTGAGACAGGGTCTCCCTGTAGCCCCAGCTGTCCTGGAACTCACTATGTAGACTAGGCTGGCCTTGAACTCACAGAGATCCGCCTGCTTCTGCCTCCCAAGTGCTGGGAGTAAAGGCGTGTGCCACCATGCCTGGCCAAGCGTTCCCTTTTACCAGAACTTCCTACATAAGAGTCTGCTCAAGATGAACCCTGTGGGATTTTATAACCTCTCTTTTACTTGTGCCCACCCAGCTCCTGTCCCCAGGACCTAACCTCAAGGGAGGTAGATGTCATTTAAATGACTGACCCTGTCACATCCCTTCATCCTCGTTTACTGAGTATCTAAGAAGTGCTACATGTCTGGTCCCCAAATCATCCCCTTCCGTCAATCAACCCTCTCCTTTTTCTTTCCCCTTTCTTGTTCTCATAGTCTTTCACTCTGCATCTCTCAGTTGCTCTGTGACTCACAAACTTCACTACACATTACACTTCCTTTCAGAACATTGCATCTACCTCCATAAACTGTATAGAAGTGGCAATGGAGACCCCACTTATTCTGTAAATGACAAAGACCACATCCCAGTTATCCTCAGGTTAATGGTTCCTTTGTCCTGACTTCTGGCCATTACATCCTTACTTATTACTGCTTTGATGTGCCAGACAATACACCCTGTCCCGTCTTGTTGGTATCATCTGTCTACTGATTTCTAGTCACCCTGAATCCTTTATTAAAAAATGTTGCACCTGGCTGGCACACACCTTTTATTCCAGCACTAGGGAGACAGAAGTAGGTGGATCTCTGTGAGACTGAGGCTAGCCTGGTCTACATAGTGAGTTCCAGACCAGCTGGAGCTCCACAGAGACCCCATCACAAGCTGAACAAAACAAAAATTGTTACACCTGGATTGATGCCACCCCTTCCAATCACAGTGTGGACATAATCCCAGAATGACATCCACATCTACAAGAACACCTCATTCAACCCCTCAGCTGGATCTGCTCACTACAAGTGAATGTTTTATTTCTTTACCTCAACATTTCACGTTCAGAAATTCATCAACATCTGAGATATTTCCTCTACCAAAATCAATGTGTATCTCTCTCTCATTCAATCTCCAATTTATTTTCTATATTTTGTCCAAATTTCCCACCCCAAGACTGCTTTTCTCTGACTTCTCGGGGACCCAAGATACACGATTCACTCCACCTTGTCTATGTTCATCAGTCTCTTCACTTTTCCCTTCTCTGTCCAGCATCGATTTCAGTGTGAAAACTTCCATCTGGCCTGTAACCTACCAGATTTCATCCTATTCTGCCCCTGAGCTGTGTCTGGCATGTGGCTCCCTCTCTCTTCTTGGCTTCTGATATACCCCCTACCACTCTGAGATTTATTTTCAGTCTCTTTTGTCCTGCCAACCTCCTTAACCTATACACTGACTGCAAAGTTCTCAAGTGTTAGTTATTGATTTGGTTTTCCTTACATCATTGCTAGGTAATTCAGCAATATGTGGCATAATTTGTCAACTATGATTGTGAATCTAAGGATGGGATTGAGGCCTGTGAAATGGGGAAAGCAACATATGGGTCATATTTAATACACTGGAGTCCAGTGCTAATGTCAGCTCACCAGCCCCACCCTTCTTCTTTGGTTAAGGTTTGGCAGTTTTGTGTACTTGAAACAGCCTTCATCACATATTCACTCCCTCTTCATTTTGCCAAGTTTCGATTTCCTGCAACTTCCCCTTACTGTGTAACTTGAGTAACCCTCCATTTTCTAGTTTTTGAGTATCATGTGCTTTTGTCATGATGCATTTTTCACACTGCAATCAAGCACTACTGGGTTTAGTCCATAGTGTTGATATGCTGGTATTAAATGCAAATGTCCTAAATAAGAACAGTATCTCCCTTATTCACTGTCCTAAATTCTTATTTAAGTGTTTTTAAGTTCAGTAGGTTTTATTTATAGGCCTAGTGGTACAGGCCTATAATCCCAGCTACTTAGAAGTTGAGGTAGGAGGATTGCAAGTTCAGTGTCAGCATGGGTTACGGAGTGAGCACCAGGCCTGTGTGGCCAATTCAGTGAGACCTCATCTCAAAATGAAAAAGAAAAGATTCCCAGGGATATAGCGAAGTAGTGAAATGCTTCCTTGGCATTGTGAAAGCTGTAGACTCAACATCTTCAA